GAAATACAAAAATTAGCTGGGCATCGTGGTGCATGCCTATAATCCCAGCTACTTGGGAGGCTGAGGCAGAAGAATTGCTTGAACCCAGGAGGCAGAGGTTGCAGTGAGCCGAGATTGCACCACTGCACTCCACCTTGGGCAACATAATGAGACACTGTCTCCAAAAACAAAACAAAATAATGGTGGTAATAATACCTATTTCAAAGTGGTTATAAATATATATGGGCATATGTATACACACAAGAGATCACCTATATAAACTGATTAGACAGTATTAACGAAGTATGTAAATTGCTTAGAACAATGCCAGGCACTAAATAAGCATGATTAGCAGTATATTTGCTGTTGTTCATATTTTGTTTGTTCGGATGTATATTTGGCAGATTTTTTTAAGGAAATATAATCTGAAATACTGTTATTTTTCCCCTATAGTTGAGTATACTGCAGCATAGGTCTGTGACAAATTTGCAAAATAGGAAGCAAATATAGTCATACCTCAGTATTAATGGAGGATTGATTCCAGAACCCCCTCCCACTCCACATACTATAAAGATACCCAAACTGCTTATATTAAATGATGTGCTATGTGCATATAACCTATGCACATCCTCTTTTATAGCTTAAAATCACCTCTAGAGACAATGTAAATGCTATGTAAACATTGTTATACTGTATTGTTTAGGGAATAATGCCAAGAAAAAAAGTCTGTACGTGTTCAGCCCAGACACAAGCGTCCTTTTTTTAAATAAATATTTTTAATTTCAGGGTTATGAATCCATGGATGTGAAACCCATGGATACGGAGGGCTGACTGTACTGTCTTAATCAAACTACATAAGAGGAAGCTCCTCTCCCCACCCCTTCTACACTTTCATAGAAATGTAATTGGCATTCACTGATAACCAGAGTTAATACCTTGAAGACAGCACAGACTTTAATGATGTTTTAGGAAAAAAGGAGGCCCCTTTCATACTTACAAAGGATCTGAAAGTGTACTTCTAAAGGATGTCGTTGACTTCATTATCGCCAAGTTCTGTGGTAGTTTCTCCATCTGTTGTCCCCTGGTCTTGCTCTTGCATGTGATTTTATTGACCATTCTGTCCTTGAAATTGTCCCTTTTCTGGGCACCCTGACTTACACACAGCTTCCTTCTCAGCTGTTGCTCCAGACAGGCACTTCTTGTGTCACCTGCCACTCCCAGGGTATGTCTGCCAGCACCAAGCTTCACCTGTTCTTCAGAGGGATCACTGATTCCCAGGACCTCCCCTCCCCTCTCTGAGCTGATGCCTTGTGTCTGATCTGTTCGCCTAGCTAGCTCTGTAACCCCTGAAGCTTGCTAAATTTCCACTTGAATTCCTCATCCCACTTCAAAACAAAACTTCGATTTCTCTACAATGTTTCCCCTGGCCACATCCCTGAGCATCAGTAATACCACACTGAGCCCAGGCTCCAGGGTTAGCACGCTGCTGCTACCGGCTGACCCGTACTTTTGCATTCCTTTCTGAAAGGTCTTTTCTATTTTTCCCCCAAAGTGGCATCACTGTCACCTGCCCTTCTAGAATAGGACCTTGTTACCCTCACCTGTGGTTCCTGGGAGGCCGTGATGCCGCAGGCACTCCCCCTCCAGTTTGTCTATTGTAGCACCAACAGGCTAATCTTCTTTTTAACAAACTATTCCCCCACACTAGGGCCGTTCTGTTGTACACATATCAAGTGCAGATGTTTCTGCCTGGCTTTCAAATATTTCCATTGTTTCTTTAAAGCTTGTAGCCCTTAGGTCTCACGTGAGCCGAGCTGGACTCTGCTCTGGGCAGGCCTCTTGCAAGGATCATATGAACACACCTTGAATTCTCCACTTAGCCTTAGAGCAACCACAGCATTTACACTCAGCATTTAGCATTCCCTTTTGCCTGTTTACATTTGGGCAGTATTCACCAACTTTGTTTTCCAAATGTACAAAGATAAGAACCATTCTTTAAACATATTAAAATTATATTCTAATCTAACACAGCAGCTGAAACTATAAAGAAAGAATATATAATACCCATTAAAGAAACCAAAGAGAAAATATGCCGCTTAATTCCCTTACACAAACGAGGAATCTGAATACCTGAGTTAGATATTTTTAAATGTAATAGTTATATATTCACACTTATGGTTACCTTCTATGCATGGCAAATCATGGCTGCTTGTCATTTATATTATTGGCATAATGTTTTATTTTGGATTCAATCTGCTTTTGATTAAAATACTGATTTAGAAAGAAATGAATAAATTAATCCATAGCGCTAGAGGTATGAAAATATGGCAAAAGTTGTGAGAGTGATACTCAAATGATAGAAATCTTGAAAATACTATAATACAATATGGTTAATCTGTGCTTAATAAGTAATTGTTGATTGACTAATAGTTCAAATCAGTCGATCTGGAAAACCGCGTTCAGACCTGTATTAGTCATTTTTCACATTGCTGAGACTCACTACCTGAGACCGGGCAACTTATTAAGAACAGAGGTTTAATTGACTCACGCTTTCATATGGCTTGGGGAGCCTTGGGAAACTTCCAGTCACAGGAGAAGGTGAAGCAGAAGCGAGGCCCCTTTTACATACAGCAGGAGGCAGGGGTTGCGGGACCACCACACTTTCAAGCCATCGGATTTCATGGAAACTTGCTCATGATCATGAGAATAGCATGGGGGGGGACCACTCCCGTGATCCAGTCATCTCCCACCAGATCCCTCCCCTGACATGTGAGGATTACAATTAGAGATGAGATTTGGCTGCGGACACACAGCCAAACCATATCAAGACACATTTCCTAAAAGCCCCATGTGATAAAACGGGCAGACACCAATTTTCACAGCTAAACTTTAAGCTTAAGATCAGGGGAAGAGAAAAGACTCAGCAGGCAGAAATGATTTTCGGCTCCTCAGGAGTTGTCTGCTTGTTGGAAGCGGTGCCATGACTGGAGGCAGGGAGTGGGGACCTCCCTACCCGTTGCTTTTCCTAGGACTCTCTCGCGCTTACAAAGTCTAGCTGGAGAAGCTGGAATGCATTAACATTAAATGAGTCTCTAAAAAATTGAAATGTCCACATACAAAATCATTTGCAAAAGAGACTTGAACTTCACATGCCAATTCTTATCCTCTTTCTCTTGTTTTTGGAAGCTCTAACAGCCACCCCCAGAAACCCTACTTTATACAGCGGTTTCCTCCAGCAAGCTTAGCTCCCCTGACCAGGCTCACTGAATTATAGGCCTCAGAGTAAACTCGCTGCAGGAGAACATAAATAGACTGTGGCCGGAGGTCTGTTTATGGTGGGGCCTAAAAAGCCAAAATTTGAAATGCAATGAACTGTGAATATTGGGAGGGATGAAAACGGAATCCACTGTATGATGCAATTCTGATAAAAACTACCCAGAGTTAGGCCAAATTTCATAGGTTATAATCACAAGCACCACAATATGATACTCATTTGAGACATTAAGTGTGGGGATCTCAGATCATTTGCACTTCTGACCAATTGCGTATAAATTTGGGAGTCCGTGTAAGCACCCAGGTTTAATATTTGCTAAACAACTTACAGAAATCAGAAAAACACTATACTTACAATTAAAGTTCTGCTATAAAGGATATAAATTAGGACCCGCTAAATAAAGATGCACATAGGATAAGGTCTGAGAGGGTGCCAAGCATGGAGCTTCTGTGTCCTCAGGACACATCAACCTCCTGATACAGCAATGTATACCCCCATCTAGGAAGCTTACCCAAGTCTTGGTGTCCAGAGTTTTCACTGGAGTTTCATTATGCAGTCATGACTGGTGGAATCATCATCAGCATGAGTGAACTCAGTCTTCAATCCTCTTTCATCCCCAGGGGTTAGGGGAGAGATCAGGTTGAATATCATATGGCTCCCAGCCCTAACCCTTAATCACACGGTTGGTCTACCTGGCATGGCTGACCCCCGTCCTGAAGCGATCCGTGGGCCCACAGTGAGTCACCGCTTTAGCGTAAACTCAGATGTGGTCCCAGGGGTCATGTCATCGGTAACAAAAACATTTCTATCATGTGAGAAATTCCAAGGGTTTTGAAGCTCTCTTCCAAGAGCCCAGCACAAAACCCAGATAAATTCTTTTTATCTGGGTAACAACATAGAGAAAATACAATAGGAACTGGACCTATTTTCAGTCATAGAAAAACCAAGACAAAAAAATTACGATTTTTTGATGGTGGAAGGATGAAGCATTTGAATCCATGATTTTAGTGCGATTTTCATCCATACGAAATGAACTGCAGTTCTGAGACAGTTGTTCATCTTTCCTTGACAAAAGTGATATGGAGAGCACCCGGAGTACACAATTAGACATCAAGGGTGGATTTGGAAGGACTTAGGGAGGCGAGGGACACTAGAAGAAAGATGTGTCGTTTGTTTAACCAGAAGGTTACCCACTGGAAAATGTCATTTGAATACAAAATAAATGGTCATTAAACATCTCTAGAGTCTTTTCTTTTGTTTTTCACTCATTCATTCATTCAGCAGTCTTTAATGAGTATCTCAGATGCTTGTCACTGGACATACTTTGCTACATGATCAGTGTAAGAAACAAAGTTTATTTGCATTTCGTGGAAAAGGAGAAGGATGAACGATTTGAAATTATTTGCTGATTATAATTGCAATCCAAATGAACCTGAGTTCTGAGATGGTTGTTAGTTTTTGCTTGTCGAGAAGGATGTTAAGAAACCCTCCTCTCCAAGTATGAAGTATTAGACGTGAAATCTGTATCTGTGAGGAATTTGGGTAGGTGAAGAATAATAGTAGAAAAACACGTTGTTTGTTTAAGCAGAGGGGCTACCATTTAGTCTTAATGATTTTTAGCAAAATTAAGAAGTGTTGTGAACTGTGATGTGTTATAAATTGTTCTCTCTTTTTACTTTCCTGTAATTGGAGCAACATACTAATTTCTGCAAGTTCTGACTACTAACAGAGAGCAATCACCTCACAGACTTGTACCGAAGAGATGAGACCATCCAGGTGACAGGAAACGGCTACGTGCAGAGCCCTCGATTCCCCAGCAGCTACCCCAGGAATCTGCTCCTGACATGGCGGCTTCACTCTCAAGAGAATACAAGGATACAGCTAGTGTTTGACCATCGGTTTGGATTAGAGGAAGCAGAAAATGGTATCTGTAGGTAAGTGGGGAAAAAGAAAACATTTTAGGGTACTATTTCAAGATGAAAAACAAGAGATGAATTTAAAGCATCACATCAAACACTCCTTTTGAGCCTTTTAAATGGACCCAACACATGTCACTTCTGTTTCAAAAAGCCTTTACGTCAACCCTAACAGAGAAGATAGCATAGCCTGCTGCTGCAGAGGGCCGAATACCCTGGCAGGACTCACAGAAACTCACTTGTCAACTGTCAGGACTGCGTGACCTCCAAAGAAGGATGGAATCCGGAGGTCCTGCCCTTTTCCAGGCACAGAACTGCATTTGTGCACAGGTATCCAGCATTCTGGGTCACCTGCAGCTGCATCATGTGACCCTGGTCAAAGCTTGCCATGGGCTTAGGGAGCATAAACCCCTGCCCGATGCAGCTGACCCAGGCTTTCGTAACCATAATGAATGATGCCAGCACTGGGAGATGATGGGTGGGAAAACCACTCAGGGTCTGACCCTGAGTTCATAGAGTGAGGGCTTCATAGATGGGAGGGAAGGAACAGAAAGCCCATCCCAGATTCCTTGTGCTCCACAGAAGGGTCTGTTTCCTGCTGTTTCTGGGTCACAAGTAGAAGATGAAAGCTGTCTGATAATCTTCTCCCTTCTTAGCATATCTATCAAAGGAAGCCTGGGCTGTTCTTTCAGTGTCTGCTCACAGCATTGAACTCACTTAATTAGCATGTATAAGGTTTGAGGAGGATTTTTTTCTTTCTTGTTCTTTACTGCACACACTTGTTCTGCATTGCCAATGAACTACTCCCTGCTACAGCCTTTCAGCAGGTTTATTCTTCTCTGAATAATAAGAAGAGGTGCCTCAAATTTGGTTGTCCTCTGTTGCGTGTTTGTTATGCTGACAGCTTTTATTATATTGCTATTTTGCTGAGAATAACAGCAGTGACTATTACTTTCTGGGACCACAGAGGGTAATATGCCAGAAAGCAGAGATGAATACATTAAGTAAGAGCCAGTTAATATTTACAGAGAGGATAAACTAATGCTGATCATGTGTCTTTTCAACCTTGAAAAAGAGAGCTAATATTCTGTGCTTAAAAAACATGAGAAAAAAAAGCTATTAAAAGATCATTGAAGGTGATGAAATGAAGGGTGCCCACAAAACACTTCTGATACCAAATTTGTGAGGTCAGGGTTTTTTTCCCACAGCAGTTAATTCTCCAGCACCAGCTGTGTTGTCCCATCCGATTCAGTTCTGACACTATCCGGAATCAGTGTCAGATGCCACAAGTTAAGGCGCAGTGCCACAGGACTGCCTCCATGTTCTACGTCAGTTGCAGTTTCCAAGCCTCTCCTACTTCTGTCAACCAGCTATAAATAGGGGTTCCCAAACCCCCTTCTTGGGTTGAAAAATTTGCTAGAAAAGCTCACAAAACTCAAGGAAATACTTTCCTTGCTATGACCAGTTTATTATAGAGGATGCAACTCAGGAACAGCCAAATGGAAGATGTGTGTAAAGAATGCCTTCTCTGGGCTTGCAACCTTCCACCTCGATGTGTTCACCAGCCTGGAAGGGTATTTATGGATGTCTCATTGTGTAGCCATGATTAATTAAATCATTGGTGATTGAACTCCATTTCCAGGCCCTCTCCCTCCAGAGGTCCACAGGTAGAGCCAAAAGTTACAACTCTCTAATCATGTCTTGTCTTTCTGGTGACCAGTCCCCATTCTGAAGCCATCTAGGGACCTTCCAACAGGTACTTCCAAGAGGCAATTAATTTATTCATTAGGATTAATTCTGGTATGGTTGGAAGGGGGCTTATTATGGATAACAAAAGATGCTACTCTTACCCTAACACCCAGAAATTCCAAGAATTTTAGGAGCCTTGAAATAAAGACCAAATATATATATATATTTCTTATTACCACAATATCACAGAAGGGAAGCCAGGTCTGTACTACTGAGCTGGAGTTTTAATCCTAGCAGTGAGTCCTTTTGGCATTCTTGAAAATAGGAGAGGAGGACTCAGGATGGTTTCCTTTCTGGACCATTCATCAAATCTAGTTGCTCCTCAAAATTTATGGAAGGAAATAGAAGGATAGCAGGTAGAAAAGAACAGAGAAAGAAGGGAAAGAGTCCAGAGGCTTGTCTCAGAACCCTCCCTAAGAACTAAAATAGTCCGCTGTTGACTTCAGGTTTAGAGTTAAAGTTACACTGATATGTTCTTTAAACAAAAGTGACCTATTATGTTATTAAAAGTTTCAAGTATACTTATGCTTTGTGCAGTAAATGTGATTTACACATATTGTATACAGAATGAAATGGAATTGCTTTCCTACCATCTGTTCCAAAGCCTCCTTGATGTTTACATTGTAATATTTTATTGCTTGAATAATGATACTTTGTTAGTGCTTTTCACCTTCCAAGCACCATACAAACATTAATTAATTTACACAGCACCCAAGAGATATGGAGCTGGTAAAATTATATAAGCCTTCTTACTTTACCCGTAAGAAAATTGAGCCCATGGACATAAGGGCCTTGTAAATCACTGTTAGAGAAATTTAGTCACAATATCATTCTTTTTTCCTTTCTCTTTAGTTCACCTCTCCCAATCCAGTAGAGATCTGAGGTGCATGAATAAGACCAGGAAAGCTATAATTGGTATCCCTGTGTTTTCAGAAATAATGTTTCTTATGATGATTCCTTCTGATGATTGTGACAGAACTCTATAATATGGTTGTGAGGCTTCTGCCACTGCTCCCTCTGAATGTCCATCATTTGCCTGTGACTTTAGCATCTGAAGTCACTGTGGAAAAGTGACTTTCTGCCGGAATCAGATACTGATGACCAAAACTGAAAGAAATAGTTCAGCTTCTCAAGGAGAGTCTTCTAACATCTTAGGGGGCTGCAAATAGAATAAATGCTCCCTATAAGATGTAAGCTGTGTCCTACTGTGTAATAGAATGATGTACCACTCTGGGAGTACTTCCAAGACCAAATAGGCGGAAGGATAAGTGAAGAGGTTTTTGCTCTCCTCTTCAATCCCAGGATTCCACTGGCTCCACCCATGCCACAGGTGAACCTGTGGTCTTAAGCTCATTCACACGTGGTTTAACCAGCCCAGATTTTTCTAATATTGGTTAGCAAATATCTCTCCTCAAAGTTACATGCTTTCCCTTACGATAAGCTTCATATTTTGTGATGTGATCCTTCTAAAAGATAGTTTCCAAAAAAAGCATATAGCAAATCATGGGTGCATTCATTTATTTTCTGTAATGACATTGCTGATTTTGTAAGCTATATAGATATAGATCATTTACTTTCTCAAGAAAGCACCGAATGAATTAAAGTAATTCAGAGTTGGTATTTGTTTCAAAAACTTTATATAGTTAATATATGGGCATATAACGAGAGCTACGTCTCCTAAAATATGCCAACAGATTACGCTTACTGGTTTTTCCAAGAAAACTTTCTAAAGCCAGATGCTCAGAAAGTAACCCATTTTTATTATTGAAGGTTTAGAAGCAGTCATGGCTAATTGTATGTAAAGGTTTTCTCAGAAAAGATTACTGGAGTTTGAATTTGCAAACCTAATCCAAAAACCAGCTTTCCTTTAACGTTTTTGTACACTATAATTTTCATTTCAGATGGTAGTCATAAAAAATCACATATGCTACCTTCAATTTCTCAGTGAAAGTATGAATTTCAAAATCTACTTTAATCAAAACATGTTCATTGTGTCCAATTGATTGTAGGTATGATTTCGTGGAAGTGGAAGACATATCTGAAACCAGTACCATTATTCGAGGACGATGGTGTGGGCACAAGGAAGTTCCTCCAAGGCTAAAATCAAGAACGAACCAAATTAAAATCACATTCAAGTCCGATGACTACTTTGTGGCTAAACCTGGATTCAAGATTTATTATTCTTTGGTGGTGAGTAGCTTAGCCACTTTATATTAAAAGCAGACACTGGTCTCATGAAGTATAAAGATCAGTTTTCTATGATCGAATTCACTGAGGGTGCGTGAACTTCATTAACTCCTTATGACGTGGTTTGTTCTACCTGATGGCCAAAATGTTAAAGTCCTTGTTAGTAAGAAATACCATTTTGGATCTATTAAGTCAGCCATTGGGCCATGCATTTTGAAGGACAGCTAGTAAATAGGAGAAGGTAAATGGTTTAGAGTAAAGCAGATACTACATTGCCTTCTGATTCAACTGAAGCAGGGTAAATGTGTAGTCAGATAGAAGGTAGGCGAGAATTAAACCTGTTTTCAGAATTAAAGCTAAAGAAAATAATTTCCTCTTTGGGTTTGAAAAATTGTCTGTAGATTCTATCACAGAAAAAAAAGTCCTGATACTTTTAATTTCAATTATGACCCAGATTTGGGAAGGGTCTGTGTTATAATCATAGAGCCTCGGGGCTCGCAAGGATCTGCAAAATCAAAAGGTCCAGCTCCGGACCCAGGAGTGGGAATCCTGTTTACTACGATCTTGCTCATTTGCAGCATTTTCTCTCCTTAAACACCTCAGTGGCCATTCTCAACTGTAAGTGGTTGTGACTTGGTAGAAAATATTCAACATTATATTGAGCCAAAATCTACATTGTAGTTAATTTTAGCTGTTGGGTCACAGGCAATCAATCTGCTTTGCTTATTCATACATTAATGAAATAATGGTCCGTTCCTGGTCTTTGTCAGGCACTCTGATAGATACAAAGGTAAGCAGGACAGACAGGGTACTTGAACCATCTGGAGCTTCTAGTCAGCTAGAGATGACAAAAAATTAAAAAGCTATAACAGATCAAGTGCGCTGGCTCATGCCTGTAATCCCTCCACTTTGGGTGGCTGAGGTGAGAAATCGCTTGAAGCCGGGAATCAGATACCAGCCTGGGCAACAGAGCAAGACCCTGTCTCTACAAAAAAAGTAAAAATTTGCCTGCTGTAGTGGCATGTGCTTATAGTCCCAGGTACTGGGGATGCTGAGGCAGGAGAATTGTTGAGCCCTGGAGTTTGAAGCTACAGTGAGCCATGACTACACCACGGCAATCTAGCCTGGATAATAAAGCAACACTCTGTCTCTAAAACCAACCAACCAACCAACCAACAAACAGTAACAACAGAGAAGGATGCATAATAAAACACAATGACTGAGTGCCGTAGGTCAGGTTCACGGAGACATTTGGATAATTATGTCTATACCTTAACAGAAATCTCGCTGAACCCTTCAGTTATTTGTAGTGTATTCCCTTTTGGGATCAGTTTTCACTCTCTTTAAGTTTGTCTCTGTCCCTTTTCCAAGTGTGAATGCCAGGATAGAACAAGTACTATAAATGGCATCGATGTATTGTTTTTAAATTTTTTTTCTCTTAAAAATTAAGTTTTGAGAAATGGAAAAATCTTGCTTTAAAAAATATATTATTGGCTTTTTTTTTTTTACATTATGGTGAATTATTAAACACTAAGTGAATTCTACATCAGAACATTGTAAATGAAAAAAATAACACGTGGTAACCCTAGTTCCAGTTTTAATTTGAAAATAATCCATCAAGCGTGATTTACTTTATTGCAAGCTCATGCAGTTCTGCTCAGCATTAAAACTGAAGTGTGAACCTTTGGTTTCTACATTCATTTGCTTTTTAATGTGTTCAGTGATGCGTCTGTTCTCGACTGTTCGTGGACGGAGCAGGCTTGGCATGTTGGAATGGTGATGGATAGGCTTAGAGAAGATCTTTTTCCTTTAAAATATCAAGCACTATTAGTGCTAATGTTTGGTTGTGAGTAAGTTGAATGGTCCATAATTAGAAACACCGTAACACCAACATAATACCTTTAAGACACACAACCACTTTTGTAGAAAGCAGTACGAGTACGGGTTTAAGGGAGAATGGATGCTTCTGTTTGAGGTGTTTTGGGTTATGATGCAGTCTCATAACTCATTTCTTAATCCGTTTTAAGTGGAATGCTGGGCTGCCTCTGCAATATGGATGTGAACCAGTTGGACATCACTCCCCCGGCTTATTTGCTTCCACCAATACATTCAATTGTGTGTTTTTTCTTGTTTGAAATGATATTATTACAACATTTTTCTGTATTTTTCTACTGGCCTGTTGGTCTATGTCCATTGAGAATAGCTCAGACTCTTTCTCCTCCTAATAGGCTTCTGGCCTTAAATATGGTCCACTAAAGCCAAAGCGTTTTGGCAGACAAATTTGAAGAGATAGAATGAGCTTAACCTCCAGTTATGTAGAGACTCTAGATTGTGTGGCTTTTTGACAAAACTCTTCTGTTTGCTTCTTGGCTCAGTAGGGATAGATTACATATAGCTTGACCACCATACTGGGAAGATCACTTTACTCATGTTTAAATTTTACTTGGAGAGGCTTTAAAGCAGGGTTTATAAACTTAAGAGACCAGGCTTGAAACTGGAAGTGGGCCTGGTATAAATTAATAGGGAGACAGTGGGATTAAAAATGGCAATCCCTCTTCAAGTGTGTTTAAATAATAAATTTTAGAATGCTAAACACATTTAGGAGCTAGAGTTAGCTGTTCTGTAACCCCTACTTTAAGGAATAGTAGGTGCAAGAGAAATATGGGCCTTAAGAATAGTTCGTGGCTGGGTGTGGTGGTTAAGACCTATAATTCCAGCATTTTGGGAGTCCGAGGGAGGAGGACTCCTTGAGCCCAGGAGTTTAGTCCATCCTGGGAAACAGAGTGGGACCCTGTCTCTATAACCAGTAAAAGAAAAAAAAGCCAGGCATGGTGGCACACACCTGTAATCTCACCTACTTCAGAGGCTGAAGCTGGAGGATCGTGTGAGCCCATAAGGTCAAAGATACAGCGAGCTGTGATCCCACCACTGCATTTCAGCCCAGCCTACATGGGAATGAGACCCTGGGGGGCGGGGGAACAAACCAGCACATGAAGAGTCAAAGTGCTCTTGAAAAATGGTGAGGAGCAGCTGTCAGGACAGGTCGTAAGTCAATAACACCTCCCCTCTCATCTCTACCTCTCTACCTCCAGCTCCCATGGAACAGGACAGGTCATAAGTCCAAACCACCTCCCCATTCATCTCTACCTCTCTACCTCCAACTCCCATGGAACAGGACAGGTCATAAGTCCAAACCACCTCCCCATTCATCTCTACCTCTCTACCTCCAACTCCCATGGAACAGGACAGGTCATAAGTCCAAACCACCTCCCCATTCATCTCTACCTCTCTACCTCCAACTCCCACGGAACAGGACAGGTCATAAGTCCAAACCACCTCCCCATTCATCTCTACCTCTCTACCTCCAACTCCCATGGAACGTCTCTGCTCTTCTGCCTCGGTAACTCTCCAGGTGTACCTGGACTTTTTCTGAAGCTGTAAGAAGTAAGTATCTAGGACTGCAAGAGCCTATTTCACTGGAATCACACCCACATGGTTCATGCTCATAATGTTTTTGGAAAAGTGCAATGTATATTTTTAGTCAGGTTTTTACTCTATCAAGCTGTGGAGACTAATGGAGAACATCAAGATAACTTGTTTTTGGTTGGGAATGATGCTTATATTTCAGTTTTGTTTCATGTGTGGAATTCAATCTTCTATCTTCTTTCAGTGCCTATCACAGTGCCCTCCCAGGGCATGGCAGCATAGTCATAAGGGACCATCGCCTTTCCGTAAAGCAGACCTTAGCCTGAAGGCAGGATTCACCAGTAAGGAATGGTGCAATGTTGAACAGGTTTCTTATCCTTTGGTTTTACATCTTTTAAATCGGGATAATAACTGGATTTGGTATAAAAATTTTAAATGATAATACTTAGCACAATACCTAGGGTGTATTAAGTGGCTCAATAAATGACAATGATTCTACCTTTTACCATCACAAATTTTGCATGTATCAGTCTCCTCTGATATATGCATGATCTTCTCTTTGTATCTGATACACGGTGATCTTCTTTTTGAGGTTAGGATGTGTATCTCATTCCTAAGCATAATTCAATACGGTGCCTTATACATGGCTAGACTGCGTGTTTGTTGAAATGACCCTTTCTTGAGAAACTATGATTCATAAAAGTTGACTGATTTCATTTTCTTGCTCTCCTGCTCAGCCTTCTTTTCTGATTCTACCCTATTAAAAATAACAGATATCTTCAGAAAGCGTAATTAAGCAGAACGCATAACGTTGTCAAATACTTAGTAGCAAGATACAATTATCTAAATAAATTAGGATTTCCTGCCACAAATCTAATTTGTTGGAGAACAAATGAACGGTTTGATGATAAGGAATCTTTCCGAGAAGACCACTGAGTAGATTGTTAGAAAGGAACCTTGTAAAGGTTCCATGACAAGGCCCCCAACAGATGGTTTACAGATAAGTGAACAAAGAAGGTAGGAATGTCAGCTCTGCTGCATACTAATGGCTTAGTTTCCTCGTCTGTAAAATGGCGATGATCCTGCAAGACATTAGGCTGTTTGGAGGACGAAATTAGGTAACTTTTATAAACCACTTTGGCTGGAACTTGTTAATCACTCAACTGTCTGTGGCTGTGATGATTATCATGATCACTGCTCTTATCATTAACACATTAGGTAACAGTCCTGTATGAATAGCCCACTGGCATGTGCACACACGTATATGTGTGTGTGTGTTTAATGTAAGATACATTTTGTAACATTCAAAAATGGAAAGTCAAGTCATTTGAAAGCTTGGAAAGCTATTCAAAACCTTTCTTGTCTTATTAATAAAATCTAGTTTATTTTGTACATTGAAATTTGCTAATACCCATTATAACACTTTCTAAAATAAAACCCTATTTTGTCATACCAGTTGCTTAGCTGTGTATATCTCTGTAGTTAATTAACTTCAGATGATGCAGTTATTTCCATTGAGAAGAAAACTCAAGTGAAGAATGGTTTTACATTAAAATGATTATTTAAAATAGAAAAAA